TCGGTCTTCTCACAACAAAGTCTCATCCCCGCTATTACCTGTTTTGGGTAAAATCATGTTCCTTGCTCTCTTAGACTCAGATGGTAAATACAAAGACAGATGTTTCTTTTGAGCTTAAATAGGTTTGCTTGGGACTGTCTCTATGCACAGGCATGTTGGGCATTGGGGTATATTGTGGCAACACTTTTCTTTCCGGTGCTTGAGATGTCGATAGACACAATCATTCTCTCCTTCTGTCAAGACTCAGAGGAGAATCAAGGGAATGCTCAGCACGCGCCACCTCTTCTGCTTGAAACTTTAGATAGCAATCAAGAGGAAGAGGTTCAGAGACTTACCCACTGATAGATCCATATACGTACTGTATAAGTTTTGTTTCTTCTTTGGTTGGCCGGTTTATATGGTTTTTTAAAAATAGAATCTTTTCTCTCTAAAACATTCTAAGCAGATTGTAATGTCAGATGGCTTGATCATCTTCGATTCTGAAACCAAAAATCATATTTCCGTAAAATGCATCTTTGTTTGGTTACATAACAAATCATAATGCTTCAAACGGTGCAGTCAATTTCCAACAATGAAGCAAAAGAATTAACCAACTAGATTTTAACCCGCGGGGCTATATTTTCTTAAAAAAATCCAAATGTAATTTGTTTGATAGATTATTTTGATTGTTAATTTTAGGATTTCACCCGTGGTATACTATCTTTTATAAATATCAATCCAAACCCGTCCCATCATATTACCCGTCCCGTGAAATTAAACATCATTTAGTTATTTTTCTTTTTAATAATACTTTTATTTAAAAGCTATATAATTCAAGTCAATTTAAAAATTTCTTTTAAATGGTTCCCATAAGATATATATACATATATATTAAATTTGTATAGAGTTGAAATAATATTAATATTACAAACTTTTTATATAATTTAAATATTATAAATATTGTTGAAAATATGCAATATATATTTTTTGTTATTGAATAAGAGGATATTATGTGTAAGAAATGTAGAAAATAAGAGTTTAATATTTTTATTATGGAGTCGCAAGAAAAATCTTTTATTTCTATACATGTTATTCGTTTATTAATAATAAAAGAAAACAAATCCTTTAAATTAGATATTAACTAAAATAAACGCACCATAATTACTTATTAAGTAACAACCAATAAATTTCACCAAAAAATAGGTAACAACCAATAAATTCTAAACGTAGTAATTAAAGAATGAGATATTATAAAAAAATATCAAATAAGATATAAGAATCTTAAAATAATTGAATATCTAAATAATTTAATTGTTAGTGTCGATTTTAATGCCTTCATTAATGTGGATTTCTTTTTTACAGAGAAATATTTCCTAAAGATTATCACATTAATGACTCAGAAAATTAAGGAAGATATGAATTTATGATTCTCGAAATCGTGTTGGTAATATCTTTAATTAATATTTTTCAAATTTAAATAATTAATGCCAATGGCATTCATCCGTAAATAAGATGGAACTCCAGGATTTATTTGCTAAATGTACTCCAAAAATTAACCGTTCAATTTTGACAAAACCGGGAAGCCGAAAAGCTCGGAGGACACTAATAAAAGAAAACGGAGCCCATTGGACCATCGAACTCAGGAGAGTGTATAATCTCCGACATGGCACCGAATGTAAGATCGGTCATCGCGCAGGTACATCGGAGATCTGATTATGATCAATCAATTTTTGTTTTTCTCTCCCTTTCTTTATGCGGTTGGATCTCGCCGCGATTTCTATAATCTCTTTCTTCTTCGATTGGGTATTGACGTCAGGTACATCAAAAATCGAGAGCGATGGGGTCTCGCCGCAATTTCTGTTCACATCCAGATCATCCAGGTGCCAATAACCTCTTTTTTCGCTCTAAAAAAATCCGTCAGATTCCAGACCGTTGGTGTCCGTGTATATGTATTCGGATAAAAATCTTTTTATTTTATATTTTGTCACTTGTAATTGTAGCTCTGAACAGATTCACTGGAACGAGGCTTTGGCCGTGGTTGTTAACTCATGGTCTAGGATTAGCTGCGGGATATGGCTTAGGTATGGACAGAGAAATTTACAGATTTTTTTCCCTTAATTTTTCATCCACGAGTCAAATTAATGAGAGATTTTTTTTTTTTATAATCAAGGTTCTCTTATATTTGGTTATTTTACATCTAAGAGTGAACTTGAAAAGAAGAAGCAAGAGGTAAAAACAAAATCGAGAAGCACTTGAATGATACTTTGACCATTTGCTATTGTTTCATCTTCGTGATTCCATCTTGTGTTTGCAGTTAATCGCTCAGTATGAGCAACACTTCCAGCAGCAGGAAAAGCTCTGCTCTGATTTGGCTGCGTCTAATCCCAAATCCTAATTATCTTGAAGCAAGCTTGTATCCGGTCATTGTGGAGTAGCCTCTTAATCAGACACTAAATTAAGGAATTAGTTACTTCTGCTATAGTGTGTGTAAAACTTGTGGCACATGATATATGTTATTGCAGTCTTTGTCTAAACTGAAAACTTTTTCATTGAGACCTGTGTTGAGAAAGGTTAACCTTCTGTACCTTGGATAAAGGTTAACCTTGGCGGATATGTATCTTCTTTTCAGCTTCAGGGTCCTTGTTACCCTGAAATATTTCCTAGTGTGAATGATCAAGCCTTGTTTCAGAGCTTAGTCTTATTTCTATTCTATTACCTGTTTGTAACAAGGCTTGATCATTCTTCGATTCTAAAACCAAAAAATCATATTTCCGCAAAATCCATCTTTGTTTGGTTACATTAAAAATCATAATGCTTCAAACGGTTCAGTCAATTTCTAACAGAATGAAGCAAAAGAATTGACCAATGTTGTTCTTATTTCTTGGCAAAACTCAATTTCTTGGGGTCAATCTTATCAACACGAATCATCATCACGAGGCCGCTATCTTCTTCAGTCCAAGCAATGGATTCTCCCTCCAGCAGCTTAACGATATGCTAAGAAAACAACATAAATAGAAGCAATTTCAAGTTCTTTTCAGAGATGAAGACTTCACCTTCTTTTAAGAGATGAAAACAGATGAGTAAAGACAGCACCTTTCGTTTGCTCTTGAAATCTTCCTTTTTGTCACCCAATGCGACTCTGAGGTACTTGAAAGCTAAATCAGAAATAGAATACAAACTCATCAAACAGACTAGATTTGTTTCTGATAGAACAAAAAAGGTTTAAAGAGAGGGATTTAAAACCTTACATGAAATGCCAGAGAAGAAATTTAGTTGGCGCTTGAGAAGACGAAGTGCTTCCTTTGTTTCGTGTTCATTCACATTCACTGTCACTACCTCGTCCTCCTCGTAAGTCGAATCATCGTCTTTCCTATAACCATGGTTTTAAATTTTATCAACTTTTCCTGCCAATGGAGTATACAGAAGAAAATGATAAAGAGGACTGATAATAAAGGGATTGAGAAATTAACTGACTTGACATCAATCATCTTTGCTATAGATTTGTCATCCGCTTCTCGGGCTTTTTGTCCAAAAAAGTGTCCCTACATATTGTGGAAGATATCATATAGTTGTTATATAGAAGACAAGAAAGACATTGATCACTTTCAACCAAAAATTTCTTTCCAAATTGTACCTTCTCCACGAGTCTGTGTGCTCGCTCGGTTTCTCCTTTGGAGAATGCTTCTGCAGCCTGTCAAGAAGGAAGAGGTTTAGTTATGCAACCATCACATCATGGCATATCATATAGCCATTACAAACATATAACGGTATATCGGGCAAATGAATCCTTATTATCTCAAATACTTACAGCTCCATAATATTCTTTCATCTGATTCAAATGCTCACGTACTGCTTTACGATGTGCCTTAAACTCATTTTCATCTTCATCTATCAAAGGAGAAAAATAGATAGTTGAGGAAATGCTTGAGGAACAAGAGAATAAACGTGTATGTAAGACTATGGCATGGTTACCTTCTTTAGATGTATTGGACGATTTTTTTACAGCAACTACTCTCTCTTGAAAAGGGTCCTCCAGAGGTTTAAAAACAGGACGACCAGCAACTCTTGGTCTCCTTTCTCCAAAATGTCGAGTTACTTTTGGTTCTCCCACATATCTTTCCGTACCTGAGAACAAAGCTTCTAAAACTTCCTTTTCAAGACCATTCTTAGCATTACGCCCTTCCTCTGAACCTGTAAAGGTTCTTGCTCCATCACTGCATCATCACAGAAAGCAATTCGAAGAGGAAAAAAAATCAAAAGGATTGCCAAGGGAAGGGTTCGGTACAAAGATTGACTAGGAAAAACGTGCCTCTGAGAAAATTCTTGCAGTTCCACTTGGTTGCAGGATGTAGATTCTTGTCTTTGAGGATCAATTTTTGACATCTATATAAAAAGGGAAACAAAGCAACAGAGTCAGATTTAGAAGAAGATGCTATTCTATAACAAAGACCAAACTTAAAGTCATAACAAAAGCTCACAACTTCATTGGAAATTCCAACATCAGCATATTTCTTGGTATCAGACAAGTCAAGCAGTTTCTCCGTACTCTGCAATATAATGAAGAAGATAGTGTGGATGCCAAAAGAAGAAGAACCAAAGCAGGATCAAATGAAATACTCACAAGATCCATATGCCAAGAGTTATAGAGATACCACTAACAATCAAGTGATCAAAATTAGAGGCGACAGTGGGTATGAAAAGTCAACTTTATCTCAAGCTTTAGTCAGCAGTAGTACCAAGACAGAGAAAAGGATTGTCAAAGTGGCTCAAGGCTATAATTGTAATTAAATTGTTAAAGTAGCTCAAATAAAGAGAGATGCAACTATAAAGGTCACAGGTCATAATTAAGCTGGTGGTCATCTTGATGAGCTTCAAGGTATGGGAATATATAATATATAAGAAAAGGTAAAACAAAAATATATTAGAAAAAGTAAGATAATGAAGGCATCTGGGAAAGCAAAACGCTGAAAAGAAACAAAATACATTATTTTTCAGAGCTAAAGGCATCAGCTTACGGCTTACCTTCTTCACATCATATCCGCATACGCCTGGTAGTTTGGTAGAAAAGCAGATTAAGTTTAGCAGCTAAGGTAACCAATACACCATTAAAGAAGAAAAATATGTAAAGCAGACTCAAGGAAAGCTAGAGAATGCTTACCAAGAACCTGGTGAATGACATCTTGGCTAGCTTGAAAGCCTTCTCCAAGCATCTTAACGATAAATTCCTCCACATCAGTTGGAGCCCTGTTTGTCTTTGGCTCGTTACTCTTTGGCATTTCTTCACTCCATAACTCAGTTTCTGGAATATCCCTTGAGTCTATCTTCATTGGCTTAGTTGCTTCTCTGGGAGCATTTGATATAGGCCTGGTTCTAGCATACTCCTTACCGATAACACTTGAAACAGTACCAACTGATATAGAATTTCTCTTCGGCCTCCATACTTTGGCTTTGCTATCCTCTTGTCGTCGAACTTCCTTGGGAACATAGACCTGACTTGGTTTTGAGGTTTCGTTCTTCATTTCAACGTGGTCACATTGAGGCGTCTTTTCAGTCATTGCAAAGAGAATCTCACCAGCTACATCGACATTCTGACTTGCTTGGCAATAAGCAGCAGCAATGTCATCAAGCGAAAAACGAGAACCAAAGGCATCGAGAAGCACTTGTAAGCTTCTTGAATCAGGATCACTATTCGAAGAGCTTGCAATCATAGACATTCCTCCCACTAATTCACAGTGCAAAACAAATGGCTTGGTTAACAACAGTAGCTATGCAAAAATGTAGAATGCTGAATGAAAAATGTTCACTACATTACAACCAAAATGCTATCCATTTGAAGCTGCAAAAAAGCTAGTTTCAATCATCTTCCTAATAACTATCACTGACTAGGAAACTAAACATGGTTTGTAATTTTTGATATAGCTTGGGTCAAAATTTCAATGTGCTACGCAAAATTGCATCGAACAAACACCTGGCAGGCATTATATCTCCGACCTAAGTAGATACATGGAACTGCTCAATTACCTCTAACAAGTCAATCAATGATCGTTTCTGAGAGTTGTAAAGTAATACAAGTGAAGCAAATCAATGGCATAGTAACAAGTCCAAAAACACGAATTTTTACTCGGTGTCGATTAGGGAAACGCATAATCAAAGCAAAGAATGTGAAACCTTGAGAATCAGACTAAAGAAGAACAGAAGAAAGAATCTTTCAAAAAGAGCCAACTTTGAAACCGCATTACACCACAAAGAAATCTATTTCCAATAATCAGCAATGCGAGACGCAAAAGAGTAGAGACGGAGAGAGTGTAAGAGTTCGCTTACCGGAATCGAGAATCGAGAATTAGGTATTTGCTTTCGAAAGATGGAATCTTGTAAAATCAAAACGGAGAAGAAGAAGAAGAGAACCAAATTGAGAATTATTTTGCAAAAGAAAATTAGTTAAGTAGGGAAATACATTAACTACGAAAAGCCAGCGCCTTTGCTTCCTCCAAACTCGCTTGTAAGACACTGACAAATTTTTGTTATTTTTTAAAATAAGTTTGAAAATCGAAGAGCTAAATTGCAAATTTTTTTATTTTATTTTTTTTTGGTGCAAAGAGCTAAATTGCAAATTAAATTTAACATTTTTTGAGTCGATAAGATTCCACATTACATGTGCTATTGTTATTCAGAAATTTTTATTACTAGTAAAACAAAATTACATGTCGAGAAAGAAAAAAGAAAAAAGTGTGACCTTTTAAAACTTAAGTTTCATTTATTGTTGACTAACCCCTTTATAAGTTATATCTTACCAAATAGCACTCCTTGTTTTAAATTTACAAATTAGCTCCTTTTTTAATTCCGTCCTCGTTCCTTCTTCTTCTTCCTCTCATCGTCATTTTTCTCGATTCTCAGTCTTCTGGTCACCGAGTAATTCTGGTAAGCTCGCATTCCTTATGCTCATCCACAGTGCCTTAATTTACGCTACGAGAAACCCCACGAATTTTGTTTCTCCTCTTATAGAATAAGGGTTTCTCTTAAATCTCCGATAATTAGCAGAGTTCGTCAGGATTTTGAGTTTGATTTGCTGTTTTGGAATCATAAATTTTGCGTTTTTAGTGGTTTGAAACTAGCTTTGAAAGATTTATTGCAGAGAAAAAGTATGGGATCGAGAGGAATTATCAACGATAAGTGGTCAATGAGGATTTTATGGGGTTGTGCTATCGGAAGTGCAATTGGTATGATCGATCGATCCATCTTTTCCCACATTTTGATCTTACAGATTTTGGGGTTTTTGTTTCTCTGAGACTCTTTTCTTAAACCCATAATTGTTTAGGTTTATACATGGTTGCTGTAGAAAGACAAACTCAGAACAGGGCTCGTGCTATGGCTGAGAGTTTGAGAGCTGCTGAGTCACAAGGTGATGGTGATAGTGTCTAAATCTATATCTACCTAGTAGTGCTCAGAAGAAGAATCTCAGTTGAGTTTTTTTTTTTTTGTGTTTGTTTTTGTTATAATGACTTCTTCTTCCAAGAGATTTTGTTGATGTAGTTTCTTGTTTGCAAATAATCATAATAAGGTTTTGAAACTTGGAGAGTTGAAGTTGCTGAACATACGATTTGTGTTATCAAAAAAAGTTATTTCTTACTTCTGTCATGCTATGTTTGTGAATCGATTTTTAATGCGTATTTTCAGCAAGGCATCTTGCGTTTACGGGATGTGTTTTCTATTAAGTAAAAGTCGTATCTCCTATAAAAGCATGAGGGATCATTTATCTGAAATGTACAGCAGGATCAACTTATTACATAGAAATAATGGCACAGGGACACCAAGGCATATGCTCTGTGTTCGTCCTCTTACTATGCTTCTTCAGTTCAACTTTTGCACGCAGGATTCTGAAGGATCTCCCTATGATGAAGCCAAGTAAGCTAGATCTTGACCATGAAATGATGCCTGGAATGGCTGTGCTACACCCAGATCATGAGGTACATCCTGAGCACATGGTCAAGCCTGACCATAAACTGCAGTCCATGTTGGGTGCATCAGAACATCCCGAGCACAAGGAAAAGCCTGACCATAAACTCCAGTCCGTGTTAGGTGCATTAGAACATCCTGAGCACACGGTCAAGCCTAACCATAAACTCCAGTCTATGTTGGGTGAATCAGAACATCCTGAGCACAAGGTCAAGCCTGACCATAAACTCCAGTCCATGTTGGGAGAACATCTTGAGCACAAGGAAAAGCCTGACCATAAACTCCAGTCCATGTCGGGTGTATCAGAACATCCTGAGCACAAGGTCAAGCCTGACCATAAACTCCAGTCTTTGTTAGGTGAATCAGAACATCCTGAGCACAAGGTCAAGCCTGACCATAAACTGCAGTCCATGTCTGGTGAATCAAAACATCCTGCGCACAAAATCAAGCCTGATCAGATAATGCAGACCATGGCGAGTGAACTGGAAGAGGAAGATCCAGACCACACAACTAAGCCTATGGGATATGGTGTAGGTAGGGGCTACGGAAGTGGTGGGTCTGGTGTTGGCTATGGCGTTGAATTGGCTCTAGTGGAGGGAGTGGCTTTGGGGAAGGAACTGGCTCTAGTGGAGGCATTGGCTTTGGAGAAGGTATTGGCTCTAGTGGAGGCAGTGGCTTTGGAGAAGGTATTGGCTCTAGTGGAGGCAGTGGCTTTGGAGAAGGAATTGGGTCTAGTGGTGGCAGCGGCTTTGGTGAAGGAATTGGGTCTGGTGGTGGTACAGGTATTGGCATTGGAGAAGGAATAGGATCCGGGTCTGGCCAACCCAATTGCGGTCCAGTCACGGGAGCTCCAGGCGAAGGGATTGGTATCGGAATAGGACAGGGCTCTAGTGGTGGACCCGGTGTAGTTGTCCCAGGCGCAACAATCCCTCCCATAGTAGTTCCAGGCGCACAGATTCCCGGTTTTACGATTCCAGGTATCACAGTTCCTGGCTACGGTTCTGGGTGCCAAACAGGTGGTTGCAATCCGTACCCACCACACTACTATAACCCACCAAGCTGTCCACATTGTCCACCTTTCACATCAGGAGAAGACAAGCACATGTCAGACAAAGGAGCAATGACGGAAGCTCTTGCACCCACTACACCGGAGATGCATGTTTAAGTGTCCATGAAACACGAGTCTAATAAATCTCACTCATAATGAAATCTATTTTGGTTTGGTAAAAGCTTCACATAAAGTTGAATAAGACAACTTTCTTGCCCAAGTAGAAAGTTAAATAAGGGAAAGTTATTTAAGAATAAGTAAGTACTCCAGAGACAAAGATTGAGAATTAGGCAGCTGGTAATTGCATTTCCATGGCTGTATCTGTATGACTGACAAATGAGTTTTAAAAACCGGTCCACAAATCAAGTAAAGCTCTACTTTAATGGAAAATACGAACTTTAATCATTTCTTAATTTAAAATGAAATCAAATTTGGTGAATTTTTCTTAAAGCATTAAACTTTCCGGAAGGAGAGTGGTGGACCAACTGGTGGTAACGACGGAGAAGAACGAACGAACGAACGCACGCGAGAGAGAGAGAGTTTTAATGGATCGGATTCTGAAAGCGGCTCGAACGTCTGGTTCGCTGAATCTTTCCAATCGCTCTCTCAAGTATGATCCATTTTTTAGTCTTCTTAAATTTCATCCCCCTACTCCCTTCTTTCGATTGAATTGAATTTCAGATTTTTGTGGGATTAGATTGTTTTAGTTTTTCGAATTGTGTAAGAATGTGAATATCTATCATCTTTTGATCGAGACTCAGCCAAGTTTTCGTCTTTTCTAAATTATTATTGAACGTTCGATGTTAGATCCTATTGCTTGGTCACGAGATCTCATTGTATATGAGAGATGCAAAGTCTTTGTTTTATACATATTGATTTGAGATTCAATTTTCAGGGATGTACCTATTGAGGTATATCAATGTTTGGAAACGACCGGAGAAGGAGAAAACTGCTCGGGAGGTGATCCAAATTTTCCATCTTTTCAATCCTTTTCTAATGCATTTTCCTGTGATCAAGTTGTTTCCTGAATGGATTATTTCCCCATCTGGCAGGCTGTTGATTTG